CATCAACATGATAGATGAACTTGATCAGCAACTATACTTAGGTATGCTGTGCTATTCAGACGTTTATAATGATCTGGCCCTCTAGCAACCTGAGCAGGAAATTATAGCTAATTTGCCTACAAACGTCAGGTGGTCATAATAATCTGGCCACTCAGTGTATATCTCTGCCTCTGTCTCTCCCTTCAAAATCAATAAACATATCCTCAGGTGAGGCTTTAAAAAAATTTTTTAAACATTAAGGTATTTATTAAAACACAGCTTTCTTGTTAGTTCCTTGATTTTCACACTAGTAGTGACATGTACCAAGACAATTACATAATACATTTTAGAAAGATTTCCCCAAAAGAGCTTAAAATAGAAAGGCGACAGTTTTAAACTAAACATAAAATCAGTTAACTAAAAATATTAATCAGCCCCGGCCAGTTTGATAAGTCTCGCTCATAGACCGAAGGGTCTCGGGTTCAATTCCTGGTCAAGGGCATGCACCTTGGTTGCAGGTTCAATTGCCAGCCCCAGTGCGGTAGGCAACCAATCAAAGTGTCTCTCATCAATGTTTCTCTCTCCCCCTCCTCCCTACCTTACATTCTTTCAAAAAAATTCAATGGGAAAACTATCCTCAGGTAAGGATTTTAATATATATATATATATTAAGAAAAAGGAAAGAATTTTTCTAAAACACCGTCCAGTAATACAAAATTTACTATTTGTAAAGTATAATACTATATAATAAAAGGCTAATATGCAAACAGACCGAACAGCAGAACAACTGATTGCTATGACGTGCACTGATCACCAGGAGGTGCGCGCTGGAACATGGGGAGAATGAGGCAGAGCGCAGAACATGGCAGGCATCGGCTGCAGTGGGATGGTGGAGCAGGTAAGTGGGAGTGCCAGACCAAGGTAGGTGCCGATCGCTGTCATTGGGGCGGGCCTCTGCTGGTTACTGAAAATTCTTTGCTCCCATGCACCGCACTCCCACCTGGCGCTTTCACCTGCTGCCAGCGCCAGAGCCACTGCTCACACACGCTATTGGTGCCCGGCGCTGGCTCTGATCCTCAGTGCTGTCACCAGGTGCAAGCAGCGGTGGCCGGCCCCTATTGCCCCTCAGAGCTTCTCCATCTCCCCCTGCTCCTGAGGGGCAATCGGAGTTGACAGTCACCTCTCGCACCTGCTGCCGATGATGGCCCCGTTTGCACCCACTGCCAGCACCAGCCCCAATCGCACCGCACCATCAGTCAGTGGGTGCAAGCAGGGCCAGCACCATCAGCATGTGGGAGTGGCAGTGGCTGGGTGGGGGTGCGGAGGATGGGCCAAGACCCGCCCCTGTGCCCACTGCAACCTCATGGCCCAGAGTTCCTTTCAAGTTGCATGAATTCCTGCACTGGGCCCCTAGTACAATGATAAACAATTTGCCAAAAACTCAACATATAAAAATCAATCATTCTGCTACTGCTAGCATGTGTCTAGGACAGTGATGGTGAACCTTTTGAGCTTGGCATGTCAGCATTTTGAAAAACCCTAACTTAACTCTGGTGCTGTGTCACATGTAGAAATTTTTTTTATATTTGCAACCATAGTAAAACAAAGACTTATATTTTTGATATTTATTTTATATATTTAAATGCCATTTAACAAAAATCAACCAAAAAAAAAATGAGTTCGCGTGTCACCTGACACGCGTATCATAGGTTCACCATCACTGGTCTAGGACTTAGTTTTTCCTCTTAAGAGTTAGAAAAGAAAAAACAAATGAATTCTTAGTGAAGGCTTGCAATTTTCACAGAACCATCCACTTATAATTTATAAGCAGCATTATTTCAAAACATTTCAACAGTATCCTGTACTAAATATTTTCATCATGGCTGAAAATATTTAGTACAGAAGCAACTTTATCTCTGGCAGAAGTTCTTCAGTAAAGGAGTGAAATATTAGACTACCAGAAAGGGAAATCAAGTTTAAACTCACCAGTTTTATTTATTCTAGGACTCAAGAATTCTAAATGTGGTTATGGGATTTGGAATGGACTACTAGATCTCTAAGAAAAGGCTTCTCAGAATCCAAAGACTTTCCCTTTTTTTCTTTTTTAATCAAAGCAATACCTCCATTCTCATTGTCTGGCCAATTACTGAAAAATCTTTAAAACACTGAGATGGTCAACAAACACCTGCCTACCACCTTGACTGGGTAGCTCAGTTGGTTAGAGTGGCCTCCCAATACAACAAGGTTGGTTGCAGGTTCAATTCCTGGTCAGGGCACATACAAGAATCAATCAATGAATGCATAATTAAGTGGAACAACAAATCAATCTCAATCAATCAATCTCTTTCTCTCTCTCTATATATATATATATGTATAATTAAAAGATAAATAAAACACCTGGCTAGATACTTGCATTAAGAGTCAAACTGTTGGCCTTGCTCAACAAGATCTTTGAAGTAGTGGTGTATTGGTGCTTTTAATTTTGATTCAATTACATGAAAATGTACAAAAGTATATTTACTTCACAGTATCTTTAGTTCTCCATATTTTTCTTACTTAAATTGTAAGTGGGTTCAACTGATCCCTAAAATATCTGTGAACTGTCCTTGCACTTCACACTCTTCCAAATCAACAAACCATTCATTATATGAGAAGGCCCAGAACTAAGTAGTGAGTGAAGAGACTAAGGTCTTTTCAAATCACTAGATTATCCCATGGAATAAAAAAAGTTCTCTCTTAGTTATTTTTATTTCACTGGATTAGAGTTACCCACATTACCAAAACTTAAAAACTTTTTCAATACAAGGCATACTGAAAACAGTAAGCTTCTAGATTATTTTCTCAAATACACAAAACAAGCACATGTAAGTAACATGCTTCAACTACAGTATTTGTTATATGAAATTACTCTAAAACACAAAAAATTCAACATTAAGATTTTTTTAACATATTTTTGTTGATTTCTGAGAGAGGAAGAGAGGAGAGACTAAAACATCAATGATGAGAGAATCATTGATTGGCTGCCTCCTGCATGCCCTCTTACTGGGGATCAAGCCTGCAACCCAGGCATTTGCCCTCGACCGGAATCAAACCCGGGACCCTTCAGTCCGCAGATTGACACGCTATCCATTGAGCCAAACTGGATAGGCTAACATTAAGATTTTTTTGAAGCAATGGTTTATGCAGCAAAGTCAGTACGGATAATGCCACAAATACTCACAAGGTGATGTAAACTAGTAATCCATTTAAGAAAAAAGGAAATTTACTTAAACTTAAAAGTACAGCTGCCTCAATTAAGTCTCCAATGAAAATCTTAGTTACCTTTTTACTACAGTCAAGGAAAAAACAATTATTCCAACATAGCCACCTATTTGAGCCTTCTCTAGTAATCCAACCTTTACAAAATCCCTACCCAAAGTAGAAATGAGAGAGGATTTGCTAGTCAACTATCCTGCCCATCTTTTCCAAATTATCATGTTTCCCTTTTTCACAAGTTTAGCACTTTTAAGTAGATAAAATATAGACTGACTACCCTGGCCAGGTGGCTCGGTTGGAGTGTTGTCCTGTACACCAAGAGGTTGCCGGTGCGATTCCAGGTCAGGACACATACCAAGGTTATAGGCTCAATCCCTGGTTGGGGTGCATATGGGAAGCAACTGACCGATGTTTCTCTCTCACATGAATGTTTGTTTCTCTCTCTCATCAATAAAAACATATCCTTGATTGAGAATTAAAAAAAAAAAAGTAGACTGATTTATCTTTTTTTTAAATATATTTTATTGATTTTTACAGAGGAAGAGAGAGGGATAGAGAGTGAGAAACATCGATGAGAAACATCGATCAGCTGCCTCCTGCACACCCCGCTCTGGGGATGTGCCCGCAACCAAGGTACATGCCCTTGACCGGAATCGAACCTGGGACCCTTCAGTCCGCAGGCCAACGCTCTATCCACTGAGCCAAACCGGTTAGGGCATAGGCCAGCCGTGGGCAAACTACGGCCCGCGGGCCAGATCCGGCCCATTTGAAATGAATAAAACTATTGAAAAAAAAGACCGTACCCTTTTATGTAATGATGTTTACTTTGAATTTACATTAGTTCACACAAACACTCCATCCATGCTTTTGTTCCGGCCCTCCGGTCCAGTTTAAGAACCCATTGTGGCCCTCGAGTCAAAAAGTTTGCCCACCCCTGGCATAGACTGATTTATCTTTAAGGAGATATATTTATATACTGTACTTCCTTGTTAATCCATAAGGAGCCAAATGCAGAATTAGGAGCGAAGTATATGAGCTCCACCACACCAACTGAGTGCCACTCAAAGCTTATGCAGAATTTTCTTCAAAAAAACAGATTTGGAAACACCAATAAGAATTTATCCCAAATAAGCTAATACATTTAACTTAGCTGAGAGAAAATAAAATCCAAATCTGACAAAGATGGGCTATTTTAGGTAGAGACAAGTTGTGAAAAAGTGAATTGTGCTTAGATGTAACCTATAAAATACTCAGAGCATTTTCTGATTATTAGTCCTTAAAAAGGAGAGGAAACCGCAAGTGTTAAAAGTGAAGACGGGGTACATTCTCGACTGAAAGCTCAATTAAACCAACTATAAACTCCAGCAAAGTGAACTAGGTCAACTAAATTTCTGTCCCCATCTACTAGAAGCAACAAATTCTGAAGTCAAGTCATAGAAACTTATAAAAATAACTTATGTCCAGCTTCAAAAAAAAATCTATTCACTCAAAGAATGAGTACAGTTTTACAAATAGATGTCTATTTTTAATAAATTAGATTTTAAAAATAAATTAGCAGCTTTTAGCCTACAGCAACTATACCAGAAATATCTTCCATTTCGTCACTAACAAGTATATGCATTCACCTACCTAAAATTAGAAAAAAGACAAATGGAATCTAGGTACTTATAAACAAAGAATCCCATTCTCCCCATGATGGGAATTCACCAAGTCTTTCTCCTGTGTTCCCTCTCTCAAGAATGTCATTATGCATGGGTTCTACTCACAGAGGTATGTGACGCTGCCCAGGATCAGCTCTGGTCAGTTCTTCCTCTTCAATATCAGACTCTCCTCCTGAACTACTGTCAGTGACATCTGAGTCAAATGCTTGTTCACTGCACCTCAAGCTGGCTATACCACTAGCTGTAAATCTCTCCAATTCTTCTGAAATGGAATCACTTTTCAGGAAGTTACTAAGTCCTTCTGAAGTGGTGGTCTCACTGGCAGCTTTTCTCAATGCAGCTTCAGCCTTTCGAGTCAGCATCAACTGGCTTCGGGGCCTCAGGGATTCCAAGTTTGGCAGTTTGCTCAAAGTTTTCTCTAAAAATCCACCCAGCTGATGCTGAATGTGCCTCTCCACCTGCTTGGCTTGCACAACCTGTAAGCGCTTCTGTAATCTGCGGGCACGGTTTTCAATATCAGCCTGCCGTCGTAGTAAAGCTGTTATCCTTGTGTCAGAATCTAAAGCACTAAAAAGAATGGAAGACAGGGGAGACTTTTTACCCTCTAACTTGACGCCCCCCAAGTTAGAACTGGAGTCTGTGCCAGGTGATAACCTACTGCTTCCTTGAAGTGCTGGCTGTTCCATGGAATTTACAGAAGATTTGTTTGCAGTGCTATTATTGCTAAATATAGTTGTGTGTTCTACATCAAGGCTTCTATGTGGAAGAGTGCAATTGGTCATACCCCCCTTCAAGTCCCCTGATTCAGATGCCACCATTTCATCACCCCCCTGAGAAGATGAAGTAAGAGTTCGTTTTCCCCCATTGAGGGAACTGGAATTGTCATGATCAGAATGTGTTGAACTTTTAGTCAATTTCTTAGCCAACCCATTTACAGGTGCTTGTGGCAGAGCTGTTTGACCACTCGTATTCATGCTTCTAAGATTTTCTAAGGAAAACTCCAAAACTGGCTGTCTCCCCAACAGCTCAGCTCGGAGTTCATAGGACTGAGATAAGAAAGGGTGAGATTTAAGGACTGTCTGCTTGCTGAAGACACCTTGCAATTTCAACGATTCCTTCGAGGAAACAGGTGTTACATCGGAGCAGAGATAAGACGCCACCAATGGTTGCAGCTTTCCCAAATCTTCCTTAGGATTATTTCGGAAGTCTAGACTGGGATCCTCTGCAGCAATGGCTTTTCTTTTGGTTCCGTTGGCAGCAATAAGGATGTTGGCGTTGCCGTTGTTTTCGGCACTGCCAGGGGACAAAGTGGAGGATGGGGGAGCCAGTTTGAACCGGATATGGTGTGCTTCAGCTGCTGCGTCAGTGAGAGCGGGCGCCATCGCAGCCATTCAGCACAGAGAGACAGGAAGTCCAGCCTCTCCCGGTGCCGAGGCCAGCTCCACGGCCCCTTTCTGCCTCCCCAGAGAACAGACTAAAAAAAAAAGAAAAGGAAGTTAGAAATACAAGCATAATAGACAACATTTTTCATACAAATACTACTTGAGGCTATAATCCAAACTCTGCCTCCAGTCACATTCACTCTGGAGACCTGAATATCCTTCATCAGGGGAAGGGGGGGGGGGGGAAAGGAGGGAAGGAAAGAAGGAGGGAGAGAGAGAGCACATACACTCTTCTGTACAAGAGAAAGAAAAAGAATTCCACTTTTTTTTGTCACTTGTTACCACGGATTCAAAGTAGCTAAAACAGAAGTTCTACACTGAGAGAATCACAGATTATTAAAGTCAAATCACCTTCATTTAAGAGAAAAATCTCTTTAAACTTCTTAAAATGAGTGCATTTAAAGCAAATGAAGCAAACTAAACATCTAGCAATTAAACAGAAAAGAATTAGTAAGAACTCCCCATCCCACCAAAAAGTTCATATGCCAAATGTCATAGATCTGTGTATTTTTCTGGCCAAACAATCCAGTGTTCAGCAGCTTCTCACATCTCAGCAAACTACAAGCTTAACTGGATCACACTTGTCAGCTTTCTTTATTGTCCTCAGTACAACCTACCTCTCAAATTAATTGCCCAAGTTGTCTCTTCCCTTCACTCCAAAACTTCCTAAAAGAATAATATAAATAGCTGCCTCTGCACTCTAATCTGTCTCCTACTGCTCTAGCAGAAGATACCAGTAATCTCATTATCAAATCTCAATGGTTAGGTCTCAATCCCCAATCTATTTGACTTCTCTAAAGCATTAGGTAGTGCTAACCAATCATTCTTGAAATTCTCCTTTCCTGATGTCCTTGATACCAAGGTTCCTTCTTCTGTCCTCTTCTCTCTGAACCCACTTCCTTCTCAACAACCACTAGTATGTACTAGTACAGTGAGACCTCTAGTATGTATAGTGAGGCCTCCTAATACTCAGAAAAACTTGCTGAGTTGCACTAGTCAACATTCCCACCTCTATGTTCCTCAAGCTCCCTGGAAATGAAAATTCACTTTCTTCTTTCAATACTTACTCCTCAACCAGATTTATTATCTCTGGTAATGGTATTGCTTTCATTTAGTAATCTAAGCTAAAAGCCTCAGTCATTTGCCTCTATTTGGTTTGAGAGCAAAAGAAAATCAATCTATGTAAAGAACTAAGCCAACTGTTCTTAAAAGTGTGGTCTACAGACTTCTTGGGAGCTCAAAGACCATTTTAAGGGTCCAAGAGAGCTATTTTCATAGTAATCCTAAAAATTATTTGCCTTTTTAAATTTTTTTTCCTGTTGATATTTGCAATGAGGGTACAAAAACAAGGCTGAGCACCTGTGTACCAGAAAAGTCGCAGGTTCAATTCCCGGTCAGGGCACATACAGGAGGCAACCGAATCATGTCTCTCTCTCACATCAATGTCTATCTATCCGTGTCTGTCTGTCTGTCTCCCCCGCCCCGCCCTCTTTATCTCTCTCTCTCTGAAAATCAATAAACATGTCCTCGGATTAGAATTTTTTTAAAAAAGCTAGTTCCATTTATCAATGTCCTTGATAAAATTATGAAAATTATAAATTTATTAAATCTCTACTCTGCTTTTTTAAATATTCTTCGTGATGAAAAGTACAGTACACATAAATTACTTCTGAAGCTTTAATAAGTCTGAGAGCCCGGTCTGTGTGCTCAATGGTTAGAGCATTGGCATACCCACTGAAGGGTCTCAGGTTGGATTCCCAATCAGGGTTGCAGGTTCGACCCCCAGCCCATCAGGGCACGTGCAGTAGGCAACCAATCGATGTGTGTCTCTCACATCAATGTTTCTTTCCCTCTCCCTCTTAAAAAAAAAAAAAAAAATCAATGGAAAAAATATCCTCGGATAAGAATTAACAACAAAAAGTAGTAGTCTGAGAAAAAGCACCTGTACAACTGATTGCAAGCTGAACTAGAAGCTTTTCTCATCTAACACTATTTTTAGTTGGCAGAACTACTTATGTAGTTAGCAGACATTTTCTCAAAAATGAACAAAGTGAACCTGTCCCTTCAAGAAAATGTCCCACTATGTTTATTGCCAATTATAAAATCTGGGTTTTCAAGCAAAAAATAAGTATTTTGAAAACTTGTATCCACCATCATGAACTTGAACATATTCCCATTACTTTAAAAAGTCATTTCCAATTAAATATACTACTGCTGATATTAATAAATGTAAATTTTTGATACCATACAATGAAATGTGTAAACATTTGGAAGATCTGGGAAACTCAGTAAATGACCAAATGACCAATGCATGTGAGAAACTCATGCACAGGTAAAAGTAAGCTCAAGACAGACCAATAGATTTTAATCTAATAGTGATTTTCAACCCTCTTCATCTCATGGCACACTAATTAGTACTAAAATCCTGCAGCGCCCCCCCCAAAATTTTTTTTTTTGCTGATCTGACAAAAAAAATAGGTGTAATTTTGATTCATTCACACTGCACGGCTATTGTCGTTGGCTGTTATTTTTTCATTTGAGTATCTAAGGGAAAAGAGGTCAGTACCCCTGACTAAATAGTCAAGTATTGCATGTTTCAAAATTGATTGTGGCACACTAGTGATTGAAAATTACTGACCTAACAGTACAAAAGGTTCATTGATATGGTTTTATATTCCATATTGCAACTAAACTCAACGAAACTACAACTAGTCAAGTTTGGGTACAATGTCAAAGAAGATCCACACTTATCTAAAAAGACTATTAAGTACTCCTCTTTTTCCTCCTACCTAGCTGTGTGAAGCCAGATTTTCTTTATATTCTACAACCAAAACATACAATAGAATGAATGCAAAAACAGATTTGAGAACCCAGGTGTTTTCTATTAAGCCAGACATTAGTAAGATTTGCAAAAATGTAAAACAATGCCATTCACTTAAAAGTTCTTTGTGGTTGTCTCAACATGTTTTAAGAGTGAAAAGGGGTCTTGAGAGCAAAAAACTAGGGAACCACTGAACTAAAGCAACCTTTTCCCTCCTTAAAAAACAAACAAAAAAAAAACAAGAGGACAACTTCCAATTTGGTCAAACTTTTTTAGCCCTAGATTAATGACAATATAGGATGATAGACCCTATAGGACTACACCAAGGTTTTTTTTCACACTATGACCATTCAAATCATTAAATAAATATTTTTTTAATTTGTTTTTAAATAAATATTTAAGTAAATGACCAAGATAGCATCCATACAAATACCAATACACTTACAGTTCAAATTTATCTATTGCTCTACATAGCGCCAAAAGTTTCTCATTCTAATATTGTACTTTAATGAATTTTCTATGAAATAAGTAGACCTTTTGGTATATGGCTTTGTATGTAACACAAACTGTTTTATGTCCACTTTTTCTATTTCTGATCTTAACATTAATGTTACTTCCTAATATAGTATAAATGACCAATAGATGAACCAATGCAAAATATGTTGAGTTAGTTTTATAGTACACAAAGCATTTTCTGCAATAAACAAAAATCACTATCAGATCTTTCCCATCAATCCAATATTCTCCTCTTTTAAATTGATAGCAATACATTGTTGATACTTGCAATGCAAGGAGGAACATTATCAGTGCCAGATGAATAATACAATAGGTGAGAAGAGTAGTTGTAACCTACTACCCCAAGAGCACCATATGTAAGTCTCAGCAATGGCAGGAAACAGCCTTCCTCTGGGGACCCAAGCAAGAGCACAGATGTTACACAGCTTACACAAAACTTACTCAGGAAAACCCAGGCTCGCACAGCACACGTAAAAGAGGGTCATAGCCCTAGCTGGTTTGGCTCAGTGGATAGAGCGTTGGCCTGCGGACTGAAGGGTCCCACGTTCGATTCCAGTCAAGGGCATATGACCAGGTTGTGGGCTCGTGCAGGAGGCAGCCAATCAATGATTCTCTCTCATCATTGATGTTTCTGTCTCTCTCTCTCTTCCTTCCTCTCTGAAATCAATAAAAATATATTTTAAAAAAGATGGTCATAGTTAACATCATACTACAGAAGTACTTAAGCAGTAAATATTTCATCATGATTTTAGAATTATTTAATTATTTAAAGTTCACAACTTAAAAATCTGCTGGCTCAAATCCCGTATCTTTCAAGATTTCTCTGACCCTGTGAAAGTACATTTGTGAACTCAACATTAATGACGCATATCTCAGCTCAAAGGCAAGAGTTTATTTTGTTTACACACTCTCCTTGGTCTCTATATCCCCACAGGACGCACTGCAAAGAGTAGTTACTAAAACAATCATCTAAGTAAGTAGGGAGAGGGAAAAGCAACCTCTTCAGAAGGAATTCCATTTCTACATCCTAAATCTTTATCTTTCTACACCAAAACAATATTACTTATAGGAAAAGATAAAAATCTACAACCATCTCCCTTAGTTGACTTGTAATGCAATGCTGAGATTCAATTTTACCCCCCAAGGCATTCACAGGTAAGGAGAGTAGGTCCAAGGTCACATCATGGCTCCACCCTCATTTAAATTATTTAACTGTTCCCTCCATTTCCTCATCTACGAAAGACAAGCCTAAATCACAAAGTTGCTGTGATGATTAAATGAAATATTTTCAATTACTTAGCCTAGTACCTGGCAAAAACACCCATTATTTGCACTATTAATAACCTATAGACTAAAAGCAAATATAAAAATAAATTTCTACGAGACTTCTTAATGCACAGGAAAAATATTAAGCAAATATTTCTCTAAAAGGTCACTGTACTTGAGGACTTTTCACTTAGGGAAAAAAGCATATAAATGGAAATGACAAATCTGGTTAGCTAGCACTCAATATTAGATTTAATTGCCATAAATCATCACATAAGCTTAGAAATTCATTTAATATTTCATGATGTTATTTCTGATAAAAAGAGAGCAAATCAAATGCCCAACAATTTAAATTATGAAATACCCATATAATGGAATACTATGCAACAATAAATAACAAAGCACACTTGTATTTACTGACATGAAAAA